GGCGATAGTCGCTCCCTGTTAAACGAGGGCTCACCCACAAACTTTGAAACTTTGCAGCTGATCCTCATTGTGTGTTTGTTTGTTTACCTGCCTGAAGTGGCTGCTGTCCAAGCTGCCCCACCTTCTTTAGGGGGGGGGGGGGGGGGGTCCTCTTACTGACAGTGCCTGGTCCTTAAGAGGACTGATAAGGGCAACTATGTACTCTAATGGTTTTTTTAAAGCCATCTCTTAAAACGCAGACAGTAAAATCTCTCAGAAATGCTCCCTGATAAATTCCTGCTCCAGTCTGACTGGTGACGGCCGTTGAGTTTTCTTTCACGACTTGAACCAGAGACCAGAAAATCGGGCACCCCACCCTCCCCGGGCGGAGGTCTTCGTTACAGTGGGCTGGTGTCCTTCACACGCAGGGACAGTTCTGCAATTCATGAAAATCAGAAGGGCATTCGACGGGAACGCCGTCGCGTATCGTTCACTATGCATTATCTCCCTCTCATGACAGAGGCAATTTTCTGCTGCTTTAGCATTTTTTTTAATATGCTGACATTATTTTCCTCATAAGGCGCTGGAACTATTTACGGACACGGAAATCGGATTTCCTCTGGATCAATACAGGGGAGAGAAAAAAAAAAAGTTTGATTGCGGACGAGAGATTTGCAACATGAGCGCGCCCACAGCAGCCAGCGTGCATCTTATCGCTCTATGATTTGATCTGGCGTCTCCCAGAGACCCGTCTGGGAGAGTGAGACCGGCGAGGCCCCGCCCACCTCAGCGGCTGCGTTTCTGCCGCATCCCAAGCTGCGACGAGCCAACGCCTGCTGCCACTGCAAACCACTGCAACCGCAGCCGTGCCACCCTGGATTCTGGGGCCGCGGCGATAATGACAGTCACCACGTGCGTCACCCAGCCGCAGTAACTATTACCTGACCTGCTTCTTGGGGGGGGATGGGGGCAGGGGGAGAGGGAGAGGTGGCAGACAATTATTAGGTCATTGTCTGCCTGCTGTCTCTGCCTCCGTCACAGCCTGGGAGCTCTCCTCACTGGCTGAAGCCTCTGGATATCCCCCCTCCCACATCTGAAATCATTGACACCCCCCCAACACACCTTTGGGAACAGGTCAGTCTCGGCTTCCGAAGACTCAGAGCTTTATATAGCGAGCTCAAAAAAACCAAGACAGACTGGCGTAGAAGGAGAGGGAGACTTTACAGCACTTTGGTTGGGTTTCCACTCGTCCCGATGAGCCTGGAGGGGGCGCTATGTACCCCCCCCCCCCAATGAGCATAAGAGCTGTTGCATTTCTTTTCCACGTTGAGGCCGTTTTTGATTCTGGGGCTGACGCGGAGGGATGGGTCCCTCTCTGCTGCTGGGGGTTTGCTTTGTGGGCGAACGGGAATTTTCTTCACGGCCCAGAGATGGTTGTGATCCAGCCCTCAAGCGTTTTCTGGTGTAATTGTGCCTGACACTTTACAGGTTTAGCAATAATGTTTGGATTATTTCTGCTTTAGGTTTGTTGTCTGTCCTGAGTAAACACACATGGTTGTTATTTTCCACAAGATGGGGTAGGCGGGGAGGGGGCTGGGGGGAACAGACCACGGTGATCACGGGACTGGAAAAATGGCTACGTTATACAGAATACAAAAATATTATTGCATCAATAAATAGATTTTAAAGTGGCTTTGCGACAGGGTGTTTTAGCACTGGTATCCAGTGTGCCAGAGAACAGGCAAACAGGGACTCACATTTTATGGCTGTAAAAAAAAAGAGGAAATGATAGCACAGGGTTATATTAGTGGATTTTTGAGAGCTTTCAGATGCAAGGCTACCGAATGAGCTCGCAACCACAAAATGCACGTCAGGCACTAATGTGCAGACATGCAGGGGATTCCGTGTGTGTGTCTGGCCGTCCCCAGGGGCATGGGGGCTTTTTCATGTGGTAGAGTAGCTCATACGTAATGTTGTTTGCTGCCAGCAGGGGGCAAAGTGGTTAACAGTCTGGATTTGGACAGGAACCTTTTCAGTAAAATACCCAGTGTTGTAGTTAAATGATGGATTTCATTTTTTTTTTTTTTTTAAGGGTGTGTTGTATAATGCAGCTTAATGGGGTGAAAAATATTGTATTCTCGCTATAAGGCTACAAGTTGGTGTCCTGGAAATGCATATAGTGGCACCTGTCACATGCCATCGCAGTGGGTGTGGATTTAGCACTTTCCTGGTTCGCTAGGTGCTGTCCTGGGATCCTGACTATGCCCTGCTGGCTGATGAATCGCCGTGGCCCAGAATCACCCCCAGAAGACGCATAGTAAAAAAAATAAATGGAGAAAAAAGCTTGCTGTCTCACACCATTTGAGAGTCACACCAAATTCACCCTCCCACCCCTCAAACAGTTTGGGTCCAGTAGGGGACCTCAATCAATCAATCAATCAATCAATCAATCAATCAATGTTTACATAGCACTGCTTTGACCACAGGATTTTCAAAGTGCTTTTTAGATATGGTGGAGGTGTGACTCTGTGGCTTGGGATCTGTGCCAGTAATTGGAAGGTCACTGGTTCGAATCTCGTGAATGCCAGGAGTGATCCTACTCTGCTGTGCCCTTGAACAAGGCTTTTAACCTGCACTTGCTTCATCCTGGGTATGACGTTAATCTCCATGCAGCCCTGCAAGTGGCTCCTCCAAATTATAGGGGAGTTTTGTTGGCAGGATTGGCCCTCCAGCCACTGGAAACAAAAACTCCCACTGGTCCATTGAACCTAGTGTGGTGCTGAGGTATCACCCGCCTCATAAGCTCATTTGAAACTCTGTGTCATCAGCAATTATGAAGCTTGACACGTCACCCTCTGCCTACATCACTACGGCTGGGGAGAGTTTGTGGCTTCTTCAATTTGTGCGTCTCCTTAATAGCTTCAATTTTATCGTGGGCAGTTACTTATTTACTTGACGCTTTTATCCACAGTGATTTGCAGTGGAGGGATGGGTTACAATTTACATGTGTTTCCTGGGATTCGAACCCATGATCTTGCGCTTTTTGAGCTACAGGAGTCTCAGGCCTGAACTTTTTGGAGCTAAACATGGAGAGAAGGGAAGCCGCAACCAGTCGAGCTGCAAGGCTGCGTTTACTCGTGTGTGATTGCATCGTGTAGATACATTTACTGAAATTGCATCGGACTTGTTTAGCTGTCTGGACTGTGTTGCAACATTGGAACTCGTATGGGAGATTTTAGCGTGAATATTGCATAAAAATGAGCTTCCCTTATGAATCAGTGCTATTTTAAGATTTGCTCACTGGGGTCTGGCGGAGTTAGGATACTTCCCTGCCTGGCTGAGTGCAGGATCCCATCGATGGTAATGGCGTAGTCATGCCTACCTATTTGCCAAAGGTCTGTTGTTAATTTCTAACTCAGGAGCGAATATTGTCTTTGCTTGGCACCCGCTTCCCCTTGGAAAATGGCGTACGGTGTGCCAACATTCCAGACAGAGGGGACTTCTGGGAATTTGTACAGGGAGGAGCAGCGCAAACATTAGGCAGATACCTGTTGCTGCTAATCTGGGGGGAGGGGGAGGGGGCGGGGCCTCCCTGGCAGCCTGGATGCCGCGTAGTTCACACAGGGACTGTTTGTTTTAGCGTCTCCGCGTGGCAACAGCTTGCCACGGGCCCCTGTGAGAATCTCAGGCCGGATCGCCGGCAGAGCGAGGGATCCTGGCTGGATAAACACTGTCTAATGCTGGCCGCCGATGGGATTCCTGGGCGGTGACACGTCAGGCGGTGCGTCAGAAGCCCGGCCTTGGGTTCGAGGGAGGGTGACCAGTCAGCGTGGGCCAGTGGATACCGAGGATGTAGCGTCTGGAGGATGATGGTGTGATTTTTGTCCAGGGTCCGATTGTTAGAGATGTGTGTTTGTGGTGGCGGGGGGGCGGGATCAGCCTCTCTGACACCCTGGTGAAGGTTTTCGAGGGCTGTGGCGAAGTCCCAGTGCGTGATCTGGGCCAGCGAGTGTCCCGCTAGCAAAAAGCTACTGGTGGGAGCACTGGTCGGAGTAGCACCTCGGTGAAAATGTGGACGGGGAGATCAGTGGGGCATCTCAGACGAGGGCCGACCATCGTTGTTTCTCCCTTCCTGCCTCTCAGGATTATGCGTACCAAAGATCCAAAGACAAGAAGAGGAAGTCAGGCTCATTATTCATTTATTAACCAGTGGCACTTTAGACCTCAGTACCATGCGGTACTACTTAAGTTATTGTACCTTGTATGTTCTTGTTCATGAATCTGTTATTCTAGCTACTTGTTTGTTGTTATGTGTGGTGTAAGTCTTGAGGGAGGTTTGCAGACAAGTGCAGGTGGTCCTCAAGTTACGATGGTGTTAAGTTCCTACGCATTCCTGGTAAGCTGAAAATATCTTGTGAATATGATATGATATATAAATAAGCAAGTTACTACTGTCACTAAATGGATACATATTTGGCTAAATGCAGAAAAAAAAACACTGTACAATACATTGTTAAACACTATATGAGACGTTTACGCTTGCAATCGCTACGGAGACTGGAGACGTGGCTGGGATGATGCGTTGAACCGTCATAAAGCAAGGAGAATCTGTATTTAATTTTCTTGTGTAAATGACAATAAAGGTTTTGAATCCTTGAATCCTATGCGTTTCTTCCTTAAAGATGGCCGCCCCCCTGTCTGCAGCCCCTTAGCCAAGGTTAACCAGCCGCACCCTCTTTCCCCAGCCTGGGCGCCTGACCCGCATCTCAGTAACTGCCGCCGTTCAGCTTGTCCCCTCTGTTTCCCTTTCAGACATGGACGAGTGCGACAATGATTACACAGGAGGCTGCGTCCACGAGTGCATCAACATCCCGGGCAACTACCGGTGCACGTGCTACGACGGCTTCATGCTGGCCCACGATGGACACAACTGCCTGGGTATGTGTCTGCTCCACCCCACGTCTCTGCCTACTCGCCTGTCACGTGTGCGCTTTCCAGAACATTCCCTTCGTCGTCTTCGTCCCGATCGGACCTCACGTGCTCCGGTGAGATGGGATGACGGGGTTTGTTTTTCTTTCCCCAGATATCCCCTTACTGACAGATCCGCCCCGCGACATGAAGCGCCGGTTTTATTTGCTCGGCGTCAGACAAAAGAATGCCCCCATGTTCCCTGGTGGAGCGCCGTGCTCTCAGGATGTGCTCAAACACATCTCATCTTTTCTTAGCGCCTCCGTTGATTGACTTGAGCAGAATCGAGATGTCTCGGTACGCCCAGTGCAAACCTCTCTGTGCTGTTTGTTAAAACTGTACCGCTGGGTTAGGATTTGTGGCTTGCCGGTGCTATATGTTGCATTGCATGGTAGCACTGATAATGTCATTAGCAATGTCCAAGTGTTTATGCAGGTGCCCAGGAGGGTCACATGACTCATACTGCTAGCGCATGAAATCAGGAGAGGGTCACATGACTCTTAACATGCGTCTGCATACTTATTTACTGTGTAGTAGGTGAAATATAGTATGTGATGTGTGCACTATGTCCGAATCCTCAGTATGGATGAGACAGTAAGTGAACTGTACCCGGATGTCATACTGCATTCTGTCAAGTCCAGAAGTGCGCCCCTTATGGATGCTATGCCATCCTACAAAGCCACTGTGAAGAACGTCACTTTTTGTCATGCGGTAGAAGAAGTGTCGTCTCTGCACAAATTGCAAAACAATGCCTAGTTACATTACATGAGTCGAATATGTATTTTTTTTTTCATTGATAGTTTTAACAGTTTTTTAACTTTTGTGGGGGTCAAGCTGCGTCATTTTAAAACATCCAGGTCGGGTAATATGCAAGATGACAAATGCAGTATATCTCAGTGCTTGTCTACTGTTCTCACGTGTACATACAGTAGGTACTGCATAGGGTGACTGTATTTTGCTTTGCAAAAAAGAGGATACAGAGAGCAGGATGCAAAGAGAGGCGTCAAAGCAAATTATATGCACACAAAGTATTCTGACTGTAGAAAGCAAATGTCAACATGAAATGGTGACATCTTGTTCATTTCAGGCATTTTTAGGTCTACATTAAAGGACAATAGTGGGGTTCTGACAAAATTCAGTACCTATTGTGTAAAAGTGTGATTTTGGACACACCGTAAGTATTGGTCATGGAGTCAAGGGAAGGTCACATGACCTGGTGCATGGAGTCAAGGGAAGGTCACATGACCTGGTGCATGGAGTCAGGAGAAGGTCTGACTCTTGTGTTAGTGTATGGAGCAGCACCCCATTCCTCCAGGGCGTTGGTGGGCATTATGGAATTTGGCACACATTTCACTATGTTTCTAGCTGTTGGCCCTCTCTGCCATCAGCCAAAGGGTCACGTGTCCTGATCGTGAAAGTCTCTAAGGCTGGTGGCAGTGAGCTTGACATCCGTGATGGTGGTTAGCAGTTCCGATGCGTCATTTGAATGTTGCAGTTTTGTTGAAAAAGAAAGGTTTTTGCTTGTGAGATCTCAAAGCATGTGTAGCCCCCCCCCCCCCCAAGAATGCCTTATCTGACTTTTCCTGGGAGGACTTGATGTCCTCAATAAGTCAAACTTCACTGTATACAGGCTCACATAAATATAATGTTTTGTGTAAACAAACATTTTCCGCCCAAGCGGCGATGCTGACGGGCTTCTCTCCTCCCGCTTCGTCCTTTTTAAACGAACATCGTAAACACAAACAAACAGAATGAGTGTTTTTCATTAGGACTTTCATGGTCTGGTACGGAAATGCACAAAAATGCCAGAAAGGCCTGCAGATTCAGGGGACAGCGGCGAGGAGTCGCTGGGAATTTAAAGGCGCTTTCTCCATTGTCATTCTCATCCTTCTGCAACGTCACGTAAATGTCACACCGCGGTTATTAATTCACCTTACCCAGAATCCTGTTGGTGCATATGAAATGTTTATATCACTGATTGTGGGGAAAAAGAGTGAAACATGTTAGAGGGAGAATGAATGGTAAAGTCAACTTGTATGATTTTTATATATTTTTTTAAGAACTTCACAGCGTCACAATGGTCCGACTTCACTTGGCAGGACGCTGGACGTTGTCTGAAAGTCACCATAGCATTGCCTTCCGTCCGTTTCCATGGAAAAGCGAGCACAGATGTTTTGTTTCTCAGTGACAGGGTCACTTGAAAGTTATGGGCCGTAGTTATTTCCGGAAAAACTGACTTGAAAAGAACGATTTATGGTAGTATTTTTAGTCAAGCACATTTCCGTAAGTACAAAACAAAAAAAAGGAATAAGGAGAGCATTTAAATGCAGAGAGTCACTCATCCTGTTATAGGAAATAATGCCTTTTTGGGGGGTGCAGGTGGGACATACTGTAGTTAACGGGATATTGTCGGTGAGATGGTTTTATGTGCTTTTTTATGCGGGAACTTTAATCTGAAGTCAAAGTTGTGACCCTGCCGACGTTTCGGCGTTTATTCTGGAAAGACGTTCATTTGAGAGCCTTGACGATCTTCGCTCTGTGGTGCAGCTTGGTCCCCGGTCCCTCTGGCTTTTCTTGTAATTCGTTGGTTGTCTTGGCTCCTCTGCCCAGGCGGTTGGCCAAGGCTGTTCCTGGCACTGCCTGCCTGACGTCTTTATAGGAAAAAGGCTCGGAAGGCACCGGAAGCAGTGGCATGTCCACCCCCCCCTTCACATCTGCGTTGTTTATTTGCCTTACGTCACTTCATTGCTGTGGCACGACCGCGTGACAGTTCTGTCACGAAAAGCATGAACATCTAGTGTTACAGGCCAGTAATGTAGTAATGAAGAACTGTGCAAGGCCTGTTTCTTTCACAGAGTAGGACCAGCCAATGGGAAGGCAGCTTTGCTTACCCCAGATCTTCCCCATAATGATCACCAAGGTGATCCAGCCACTGCGGTCCCTTGGAGTGTAACGATTATGCTCGCGGTACAGCTCGTGGTCGCGCTCGCGGTACAGCTCGTGGTCGCATTCGCAGTACAGCTCGTGGTTGTGCTTCCGGTTGTTCTTTTGGGTTGCCCATCATTGCTTCCTGCCCAGTTTGACCCTTCCAGCCCTCCATAGACGCATATCTCCATGACGATGAGGTGGGGAATGTCTCAGAGCCATTTGCTAGGCCGTTACTTGTATTCAACTTGTATTCCAATCCTGACGAGAAGCCTAAGCGTCCCGCAGCACCCATGCAGCTCTCCGGGTAGGCATGTCTAGAGCAGCTTCGCTGGTGCTGAAGCTTGGGGAATGGCATCAGCATTCGTTATATGAAATCAGACCCTTCTTCTCTAAGGAACAAATATACTCCACAGAGGAAGGGGTCAACACGACCAGCCACAAGAAGACATTGGGGTTACTCCTGGCAGCATACGTTTACATTTACATGAACTTTCAATTTGCCACACAGCAAATCTGCAAATCAATCTGTAATTTGTTCATGTAAGAGTAGGATGAGAATCATAGCCAGCAAGCTTCACCGAGGCAGAGTCTCCCGTTGGTGACCTGACCAGTCATGAGGGACCAGCAGTGTGGCCTGGTGGCTGGCAGCCAGCCCCCCCCCCCCCCAACTGTAAACACCCCATCCTCAGGCCAGCATTATCACAAATTGGCAGGTGCCAAATCACCCATCAACGATCCACAGGATGGGGCATTGCCCGGCGGTTTGTTTGCTCAGCCAGACGGCTGTCTAATTACTGCCTCTCTTCCCGCTCTTCTGATGAATGGGGGCGACTGTGGGTGGAGGTTTAACGCGGGACACTGATCTCGGGTGGGGGGGGGGGCAGCCAGTGAGAACGAAGGCAAAGCCAAATCTTTCCTCATCTCCTAGGAGTCTTTTCGCCCACATGGTCAGTGGAAACATCTCCCCACTACCTGCCATCACCTGATGAGATTTCCCATGTTGCACCAGACGGTCAACACGCCCAAAGTAATGGAGTGTAATTGAATCATGCGTATCAGTTCACAGTATAGAACCAGGCTCTAACTCGGGGGCGTATACAGGGGCGGGGCCAAAAGGGCACTAGCCCAAGCTGAAAGGTGATTGGTACCCCCTGCCCTGTACTCACTGATTCAAAACATATTATTGGTTGGCCTTTCTGTGTGATTTATGGCCCCTTTTTGTCCCCCCTAAAAATCATAGAATCAGCCTGTTCTAGGTAAGAGTCATGTGGTGTTTGTAATTACACGTTATGGGTGCAATCGTACCTTATCCATACATCTAACCCTATAACAAAGTCCACACCCAACCAACCCATAGTATAACTGACCAGGTCTCAGAGAGCCGCAGGCGTATTCACCTATTAATGCGAAATGTGATTTGTGTCGATCGGATCTTATTGGATTAAGAAGACATCAGTCAGGGTTCTTGCAGATCATTAGCTCTCACAAGGCTCCACTGTTGGTCTCTCGGGAATAATTGGCTGACGATCTCCATTTCGTATGTTCCAAACAAACACCCAGGTTGCCGCCAAATTGTGTGTGTGTGTGTGTGTGTGTGTGTGTGTGTGTGTGTGTGTGTGGGGGGGGGGGAGAAGCCTCTGTGTGTTTGTTTTTCACTCTGGGGAAGGAGGTTATCGCCTGCTCTCTCTCTCTCTCTCTCTCGGATCCGTTGCTTCTGTGGATTGGCAGTAGGCTTCAGAAATGACCTGAGCACGTCTGGCAGAGGGGCGATGATAGAAAGTGACAGGGAAAAAGTCTGTCCATCTCAGCTGGTGCAGGAAGTTGATTCATAGCTTACCAGATGCCTCAATGTCAACAAGTTAGGCACTAATTGATTTAAGATTGCCTAATCGTGCTCTGATTAAAGAGCAATCTAGTGCAGCTCCTCTCTGCCTGTTTGATTCAGCTTCTTATTTATATTCTCCTTCCCAAAAGCAGCTGGGTACAATCTGTCGCAATTTGGGTTTTTTTTTTTTCTTCTTTGAATGCAGTCCTGGTTTGTT